CAGCTGCCGATGTTCTCGAAGCGCGACAGCGCATGCGCGCGCGTCAGCTGCCGATGTTCTCGAAGCGTGACGGCGCATGCGCGCTACATTATACAGCTAGCGAATGTTCGTGAAGAGGAGAAGCGCACGCGGTGTGTAGAGGAGGAAGGGTGCACAGATGGTGGAGGAGTGAAGCGCGCGCGGTGTGTAGAGGAGGAAGGGATGCACAGATGGTGGAAGAAGGAGGAGGAAGCTTGCGGACGGCGCCGCACTACAAGCCTCGAGTATTAGATGCCCCGCATCTAAAAACAGCCGACACTGTCCATATACTATCTATCGCTATATATACAAACGTAAGCGTGCCTGACAAACATACAATAGTGAGCACCATTCGTTGACACGAATTTGCCTCAAAGCCTATCACTTTGGTGTAGAGATAGCGCCTCATGCAGTGCTTCACAATACATTCATTCCCACAGTGCGTGGGATCTACCGATTTTTCCTCGAGGAAACCACCGAGGTTTTGCGCAAGTACACATGCTTGAAAATATTAACCACAGAGAGGCATTCAACAAGTGCGGCGCTAATATTTCTTTGGGAAGGATTTCATCATGCGCACTATACAATACAGCGAGGCATCCAATGTAGCGTTCACGCGTGCGCACGCTGGTAACAGCGACGCAACGTTAGGAAAACGTGAACACTCTATAATCTGACGTCAGGCACGACCAGCATCCGCCGGCACGAAATACGACGATCTGCATTTCGTGCCGACGCGTTACCCAGACAACACTGCGCCTCCCTCTTTTGCGACGGAGGGACGCCGGACGCGCTGAAACGTGCAGGCGTTTAAGCAACGCAGCGCTGCATGCGCCGGCGAATATATGGCAGGACTGGCGTCTGGCGTGGCAACACAGGCATGACACGACGAATAGAACGCCGGCGAACACGCGCACCGCGTCACGTCGAAATGTATTGGCGCCTTGACTGTGGCATGTAGTCATGTTATTACATGACACGAATCTCATGATTATCATGTTTGCACCAGTCATATATCTTCGTCATCCATTCAAATACTGTAATACCAAATTTGGTATATGTGACGCTAGCGAAACGGCCGCAAGCGCATCTTGAGCGTGGCATGTAGTCATGTTGTTACATGACAGGCATGTTATGATTTTCATGTTTGTATATGTCAATTACCTATGCCGTTCGTTTGTGTCACGTAATACTTAGTTTGGTACGTGTGAAGCTAGCGAAATGGCGGCAAGCGCATCATGAGTGTCGCATGTAGTCATGCTGTTACAAGGCACGCATGTCATGATTATCATGTTCGCACCAGTCACATACCTTCGTCATTCATTCGCGTACTGTAATACCTTCCACATGCATATATGTCAATTAACGCACGGCCCTCAGTCCCCAGCAGCTGTGAAACAACTGACCACGGCGGCGGTCAGATCTGCAACGCAGCATAGGGTGCTAAGAATCTCTGGATACGGACAGGCCGCCATTGAAACCTGAACTTGGCAACGTTTAACGCTAGAACCTCATCTAGTGAGGGAAGTCTAGCTGTACTATTCGAGGAGCTAGAGGGTGTCAAATGGGATATAATAGGCCTCAATGAGGTTAGAAGGACAAATAGGCATATACGGTGCTAAAGAATGAACACGTCCTTTGCTATTGGGGCTTGGCTGACAGAAGAGAACTGGGAGTGGGGTTTCTAGCTCACAGAAACATACCTGGCAACACAGAGAAATACTATAGCATTAATGAAAGGGTGGTAGGTATCGTAATTCAACTGAATAAAAGATACAAGACGAAGGTGGTACAGGCTTACGCGCCTACATGCAGCTATGATAATGCTTCAGTTGAAAGCTTTTAGGAAGACGTGGAATCGGCAATGAGTAAGGTAAAAACGCAGTTTACTACACTGATGGCATAATTTATTGCAACGGTAAGGAAGAAGCAGGCTGGAGACCAGGCTGTAGAAGATTGTAGTATCGGTACTAGAAACGCCAGAGGAGAGCTACTAGTAAAATTCGCAGAACACAATAATTTACGGATTTTCAATACCTTTAACGAAAACGAGGAAACCGCAAATGAACATGGAGGAGCCCTAATGGCGAAAATAAGAACAAAATAGACTTTAAAATGAGTGCACACCCAGGCACCGTGCAGGATGTGGAAGTGGTTGGCAAGGTACGATGCAGTGACCATAGAGTGGTATGGTCTCGAATTGGCCTAGACTTGAAGAAGGAACGACAGAAACTGATACGCAAGAAGCCAATGAGCTAGCACTGAGAGGGAAGGTACAGGAATTCAAAGTCTCGCTTCAGAGCAGGTGCTCGGCTCTTAGCAAAGGAACCAACCTTAGTGTACATACAATGAATTATAATCTGACGAGTATCATTACGGAGTGTGCAGCGGAAGTTGGAGGCAGGATAGTTAGACAGGACACTGTCAAACTTTCCCAGGAAACGAAGAATCTTATTAAAGCGTCCTATCAAGAAAGTATCAAGTACAACAGACAAAATAAAACTGGCAGAGCTTTCGAAGTGGAATAATAGGCGTAAGGTATGCGATGTAAGAAGGTATAACACGGAAAGAATTTACCACGCTCTGAAAAACGGAGGAAGCGTCAAAGCAGTGAAGAGGGAACTTGGGATAAGCGAAAATCGGATGTATGCACTAAGGGAAAAAGAAGGAAAAATAACTACCAATATGGATAGGATAGTTAAATAGCGGAGGAGTTTTACAGAGATCTGTACAGTAGAGGGGTCAATCATGACCTTAATACTATAAGAACTAGCATTAACCCAGGTGACACCCCACCAGTAATGATAGAAGTCAGAAAAGCTTTGGAAAGCATGCAAAGAGGCAAAGCTGCTGGTGAGGATCAGGTAACATTAGATCTGCTGAAAGATGCAGGACAGATTGTGTTAGAAAAACTAGCCACCCTGTTTACGAGGTGTCTCCTGACGGGAAGAGTAACAGAGTCTTGGAAGAATGCTAACATCATCTTAATACATAAGAAAGGAGATGACGAGGACTTGAATAATTACAGGCCGATCAGCTTGCTCTCTGTAGTATACAGGCTATTTACAAAGGTAATTGCTAACAGAGTAAAGAAAACATTAGAATTCAATCAACCAAAAGAACAAGCAGTATTTCTAACAGGCTACTTAACAATTGACCAATTTCATGCTATCAATCAGGCAATAAAGAAATGCTCAGAATATAAGCAACCACTATACATAGCCTTCGTAGATTACGAGAAGGCATTTGATTCAGTAGAAATTTCAGCCGTGATGCAGGCATTACGGAATGAGGGCGTCGATGAAGTATATATAAACATCCTGGAAGAAATCTACAGAGGATCAACTACTACCATAGCGCTGTATAAAGAAAGCAACAGAATACCGATCAAGAAGGGTGTAAGGCTGGGGGACACAATCTCCTCCAATGCTATTTACCGCGTGCTTACACGAGGTTTTCAGAAGCCTAGGACGGGAACAGTTAGGAATAAGAGTTAATGGAGAGTACATTAGTAACCTGCGCTTCGCCGATGACATTGCATTGCTGACTAACTCAGGGGACGAATTGCAACTAATGATTACGGAGTTAAAGAAGGAGAGCAGAAAGGTGGGTCCTAAAATAATCTGCAGAAAACGAAAGTAATGTGCGGCAACCTCGCAAGAGAACAGCGCTTTGAGATAGGTAATAGTGCACTTGAAGTTGTAAGGGACTATGTCTACTCAGGACACGTAATAACCATGGAGGTGAACCACTAAAAGAACAAGAATTGAGTGGAGCAAATTTGGCAAGCACTCTCAAACTACAACGAGTAGATTGCCACTATCCTTTAAGAGGAAGGTTTATGACAGCTGTATCTTGCCTGTACTTAGCAACGGAGCAGAAACCTGGAGACTTCCAAAGATGGTTCAGCTTAAATTGAGGATGACGCAGCGAGCAATGGAAACAAAAATGGGAGGTGTAAGCTTAAGAGACAAGAAGAGAGCAGAGTGGATTAGGGAACAAACGGGTGTTAAGGATATCATAATTGAAATCATGAAGTGAAAATGGACATGTGCCAGGCATGTAGCACGAAGACAGGATAACCGCTGGTCAATAAGGGTAACTAGCTGGATTCCCAGAGAAGGCAAGAGAGTTAGGGGGAGACAGAAGGTTAGGTGGGCAGATGAGTTTGCGGGTATAAATTGGCAGCAGCAAGCAAGGGACCGGGTTTAATGGCGGAACATGGGAAAGGCCTTTGTCCTGCAGTGGACGTAGTCAGGCTGATGATGATGATGATGGTGGTGGTGGTGGTGATTAATGGCGAATTCGGTGTATGTGACGCTAGCAAAACGGCCGCGAGCGCATCATGGGCGCGGCGTGTTAGTCATGGTGTTACAGACATGATCTCATGTTTTTCATGTTAGGGTCTTTCGCTTCTGTTCGCCATGCAATCTAGTCATACCATACCAGTTCTGCAGCATGCCGTGTGCTGTAGGACCACTAGATGTAAATCATGACATTGATGACATACGTGTCAAGATTTTCAGGTTATGACTAGTCGAATAAGTTCTTCATACAGTCATGTTATGCCATACCAAGTTTGGTATCGATACGATTATCTAAACAGTCAGAAGAGCTTAAAGTCGTAGGCGGATAGACAGATAGATAGATAGATAGATAGATAGATAGATAGATAGATAGATAGATAGATAGATAGATAGATAGATAGATAGATAGATAGATAGATAGATAGATAGATAGATAGATAGATAGATAGATAGATAGATAGATAGATAGATACGCTCAAAGTCACCGAAGCTCGCTAAGAAATGCTTCGCATTTAAAAAAACGTAAACAGGGGTTGTGGCATGGCCACACAACCCCTATGTACAGAGTTTTTCATCAAGCTAGGGAAGTGTTTTATTGGAGTCAATTCAGCAAGATCTCTTATGTATCAAGGAGAAGGCGGCATGAAACCACTAATTCACTGTCATCCTTTCCAGCTCCGCAACCACGATCCTCAGGATTTCACAGATTTCCCGTAGAAGTTCACATCGTTTCTGACAAGGCGCATCAGCAATACTTCAAGGAGAACTCCAAATTGATCGCATATTTGGCAGTGATGATGAACGCGGTAAGATTATCTTGCTTTGTTTTCCCAAAAACTTGTGTGAACTCTAGACTCCAAACATCTACAAACAATTTTATGCTACTTCATATTAACACACAAGCTATGTTCTGGCTTTTTCACAACGCTTTATGGAACACTTTCTGGCAACAACGTTCCCTTCTCAATCATCCGGGATAGTATCAGCATAGAAAGCTTGCTTCCTGTGACGTAAGCATGTGGGTGATGAATTCTGTCCCAACATCGCAGACTGCATGTTAGCATCATTGTTGTATTCGTCACCGCTAACTATGATACTCGTCCCGCGACAGTAAACGGAGCACGTTACCACCCTCCGCTACCCATAAAAAAGCTACCATGTTAACACCATGATTACCGAAAAAAGTAATGGACGTTGCTACTGACGTTACTTCATGATTAGACACTCTAATCAGCGTGTTCTCACGCTGTAAAAACCCAAGATATCGGAACTTTACAAACACAATATTTTTTTACATATCAAAGTTGTAATCCTAAGAAAAATCTTACCCGAAAGTCTGTATTAGCGAGCATAATTTGCGCAATAGTTCCACACGCTGGCAGTGCTACACTGCCTTAGTTTGCACGATTGCAGTGGCTGCTTCTCACGCTGTGGCACCTGGAGAAGCTATTTATCACAATGGGACATTAAACACAGAGCATAGAGAATGGGAAACTGAGTAAAGAGCAAACACTTCTTCTATAGAGTCATGCGACTGAATCAGAGAGCAAAGACATGAAAAAAAGCGCTTCTCCGTCTCCTGAAATGTATTGGGACATCAAGTTTGCAAGATTTGGTATTGGTTTCACGCGCGCGCAGATTTAGGTGTGTCACACGTCTTTTCTTTTCCTTTTTTGTCGTTACATCTGGCCTGTGGTTCACACCTAATAATGGCCAACGTGATAATTGGTTTTGTTATCATTAGCGTAAACTGCATGGCGAAAATTATTCACGAGCCGTCATTGCATCTTGCCTAACGCACGATTCATTTAAATAGGCAGAAAGAAAGCGCGAAAAATCCCAGCATATGCACGTAGTGAATGAGGAGGAGTGGGGCGAAACATCTGTCTGTCTGTCTGTCTGTCTGTCTGTCTGTCTGTCTGTCTGTCTGTCTGTCTGTCTGTCTGTCTGTCTGTCTGTCTGTCTGATACTGCCGGTAACGCCTGATGCAGGATAAGCTTAGACTGTAGGAGCAGCTTTGCCCCTAAAAATCACCCAGTCAAATTTATTGAAGGCAGCCAACTCTTGTGTTGTAGCCCCACTAAACTACAGACGGCCTGCTGCCACGCCAAGTGCCACCGGCTTGTGTCAGCTGAAACAAAATTAAAGAACGTGTCACCTCAACATTTGTATCGTTAGGATACAAATGTTACAAAGGGTATGATCATCTAACGCTTGGCATTAAAAACAAATGCAATATTTTTAAATGACACTGTGAGGAATACTCTAGGTTCTCAATATGTATATTTCTAAATACACCTTAATATACGCACCCTCAAACTCACGAGCATGCATATCTATGTTCCAGTATTCCCGATGAAATGCCACGTACAGTCAGAACCGGACCAGTGCGTTATCATGGATGCAAACTTCTTAAAACAGCTTGATTTATTGACTGATTGATTGATGTGTGGGGTTTGACGTCCCAAAACTTGGCAGTGGCGACGAACACGCTTCGATATCGCCTAATCCTTGCTGCCTTTTCGCTGCAGATCGCTGCTTCTGCACAGCTGCACTTCGCACTGGAATCGGCGCAGATCATCGCACCTGCATACGTGATCAGCTGGCCCAAGCAAACTGCGACCAGGAGGTGCTACCGTCAGCTGTTTCCGGTGGCACTGCCGCATCACGGGACAGCGGAGACGTCTATAAAAGGCTACGTCGGCTGCGGACGGCTTTCACTTGGCAGTGGCGACGAACACGCTTCGATATCGCCTAATCCTTGCTGCCTTTTCGCTGCAGATCGCTGCTTCTGCACAGCTGCACTTCACACTGGAATCGGCGCAGATCATCGCACGTGCATACGTGATCAGCTGGCCCAAGCAAACTGCGACCAGGAGGTGCTACCGTCAGCTGTTTCCGGCAGCACTGCAGCATCACGGGACAGCGGAGACGTCCATAAAAGGCTACGTCGGCTGCGGACGGCTTTCACTTGGCAGTGGCGACGAACACGCTTTGATGTCACCTAATCCTTGCGGCCTTTTCGCTGCAGGTTAGTGGTTGAACATTGTAGCTGTTTTTTCTTTTTTTTTCTCGTCGTCGCTGCCAAGCTTGTGAACTTTGTGACTTTCTTTTTCTGTAACGGACGCGTAAGCGCATACTGTTGTTGTTGAACTATGGCAAAGGAACTGTTAAAGCTCAAGTAAGAACTATGGGCGGAATTCAAACAAGAGCTTGCAAAGTATAAAGACATGAATGAACGGGATCTTCGAACGGAAATTCGAGAATTAAGAACTGAGTAGCGGAATATGACTAACAGCATTGAATTTGCTCACCAAACAATTGAGGAACTGAAGCAAAAGCTGAGAACTGCGGTCTCGGTAAATGTTGAACAAGAAAAACAATATGAGCTTCTTCGGGCTAAGTGCACAGCTTTGGAGTCTAGAGGGGCTGACATGGAAAGGCGACTCCTGCTTGCCGAGCAGTACTCTCGCAATGTCAATCTAGCAATTCAGGGCGTTGCTAGACAAGAAAGTGAAAGCGTGCCGCATATCCTGTCAATGATCGGGAGTGCCATTAAAGAGCCAATCAGAGAAGCCGACATAGAATCTTGTCACAGAGTGCCTACGCGAAACCCTGAGCGATCCAACATCGTTGTACAATTCAAATCAAGAGCGAAGCGTGATGCAACTCTGAGGAAAGCAAAGAAGGCTCGACTAACAAACAAAGACGTGGGACTAGATATCTCGACACCGATATTCATCAATGAGCACCTTTGCCCGACATTGAAACGGCTACTTGGAATGGCAATAAAAAAAACATGAATGCAACTGGAAATCTGTGTGGACAGCGAATGGCAAGACTTTCGCGAGGCAGAGCGAGCTTTCAGCTGTAATTCAGATTCACGATGAAAGTTCTTTATCTAAGATAACTTCTAGTTCGTAAAGGCTCACTGTTTGGTCCAAGAAAGATGGATTACCACGAGTTCGTATTGCCTCATTTGCTTAGTGCTCAAAACAGATTCCATTTGACTGTGTTGCATTTCAATGCTCGATCTGCAGAGTTTAAGAGTGACGTCATACACTACCTTCTCAATGATTTGCACTTCAAGTTTCAAGTCATAATGATGACTGAAACATGGTATGACGGCGTAAGCGGCAGAAGTTTAGTGGATGAGGCATTTTTCCTTGACCGTCGTAACAGGCGTGGTGGAGGCGTTGCTATTCACGTAGACGGTTGCTGGAAGTATAATTTAGTATCGGATTTCTGTGTCACGTGTGAGGACTACGAAGTATTGGCACTCAGGCACAATTCAGACATGATAGCTGCTGTGTATCGTCCTCCAGGGGGCAATATTTTGAGCTTTCAAAGCTTTTTTGATAAATTTCTGCATTACGTATCGTCCAATAAATTTACACTGGTATGTGGTGGCGATTTCAATATCAATATCTTGAATGATAAGCCTATTACCATGGATTTTTTGAACATGCTTCAATGTGCCGGATTTAGGAATGTCATTTCCATACCAACACGTGTTACACCATTATCTGTCTCGTGCCTTGACTTAATAACAAATATCGAAGCCAGTGTATTTCAGTGTGGAACAGTTTCATCAGATATAGGTGATCATTGCCCGGTATTTATGTGTTATTCCCACAAGCCGAATATTAAGGAGATATATCGTGAACCGTACACAATACAAACTGTAACAAACCACAGTTTGGAATCTTTTAAGAAGGATATTAGTGAACATGATTGGTCTTTTCTTTTCAACTTAACTTCTGCAGACTAAGCCTATCGAAAATTTCTTGCTGTCTTTGTACATATATACGTAAAACAAACACTTCCCATTCAAGCAAGTTAAACTATCGAAAAAAATACGTAAACCATGGGTGACCCCCTCTCTTGCTAGTATGATACGACTTAAGAATCAACTTTACAACTTATTCTTGAAATCAAGAGACAGATTTGGCAGAGTTTAAAAAAACACGTTACAAGCTGAATCGGGAGCTTAAGCGAGCTAAGGTAACTTACTACGAGAAAATGTTTGCTGAAAGCACCCAGCAAACACGTGACGTTGTTTGGCGCTTAATTAATGATGTGCTTGGTCGCGGTAAGCGGGACTCCGCACCAGCTAAGATTACCGTTGACAATGTCGAGCTCGCTGGTAAAGAACTTGCGAATCACTTGAATGATCATTTTGTCAATGTGGGTGTATCAGCAAACGCGCCTTTGCAGGCAGACTCTTTGAGGGCTACACCAGGAAATAAACGCCCCGACAATATTTTTCTAGCACCAACGGATGAACGAGAAATTTACACGACATTCATGAACCTAAAGAACAGTAAGGCACTAGACATTGACAACATTCAAATGAAACCTATAAAATATGTCTTAGATTGCATTACTCCTGCACTCAGCCACATTTTTAATTTGATACTTATGTCGGGTGTTTTTCCAGAAGATATGAAAAGAAGCAGAATGGCTGTGTTGTTCAAGGGTGGTGACAGTAACCTGGTGACTAATTATAGACCTATATCTATTATTGCTGTGTTTTCTAAGGGATTAGAAAAGTTAATCTATACGCGTATATCTGCCTTCTTCTGCTCCAGAAATATAATCACTGACTTTCAGTTTGGTTTTAGGAAAAGAAGGTCAACGGAGACGGCCCTATTACCACCTAAGGAAATGATACTGCAAAATTTTGAACGAAATCTTTTGACGTTAGCTGTTTTTCTTGATTTAAGCAAGGCTTTCGATTGCATTAATCATACCATTTTACTGCTTAAGCTAGAATCATACGGATTCCGTGGCACGTCACTTCAGT